TGATGAGACAATAAGATAAATAACATTTGGCTATCAAAGCCAAGAATATATTAGCAATGAGTTAAAATGACATCAGGCAATTACCCAGATAGATTTTCTTCATTTACACTTATGCCATCTGCACAGCAAGGACTGAGGGCCATTATGGTTATGAGGCGAGTCACAGTGCTCTTATCAGCATGTGCCAGGCCCTGTTTCATCCTCACTACAACTCTGTGAAATAGGTATTTAATATTATTATGATGATCTTTCTACAGATTAGGAAACTGAGCCACAGAGGTTAAATAAGTCTCCCAAAGTCACACAAGTAGCCAGTCATGAGGACAATTGTTATGTCAGTTAACATGTATTATGCTATGAATTTATTGCTAAATGAACTTAAAGCTTAGATAGTTTGATAAAATTAAAGTTATATATGCTTTGGTTGGAAATTCATATACTTCTTACTCTCTTTAGAGTACACTCTGCTTATATACAGAAAATCTAGAATTTCTAAAGACCTTACTATTAATTAGCAGCTGGAATATTTATGCTGAATTCCTTTCCATGAGCAATGTATAAGTAAAGAGTATGCATTTAAAATCCCTAGCCCTGACTATTAAGAAGGCAATCATTAAATTATTAATAAATATCAGTAAGCCAAATCATTTAGCTTCTTTATGTCTTAGCTGTTTCGGCCACAAAATTAATGGCTTTATTTATATGCTCAAGAAACTGAAAGAACACTAGTTGTTTCTGCAAAGTTTAATATACAGAATGAAGAAATATATAAACAACCGTGCTATTTCACTTAAATATCCAGCAGTATTACCTTGACACTGAAAGAAAGCATTTAACAATTAAAAACAGACATTTCTAGAACCTTCTAAAAAAAATCCTGTCTCCCTTATTAAAATGGCCATACATAAATTTGACATTAGAAAGAAGGAACACAGTACATGTAAAACATTGCTCGAGAAGGACACTGCCTTCAAACCATTGATGATGATTTTTAAAAAGCTCTGTAAAAGTTATAGGTCTCACAGACTTACTCATAACAAAAAAAATAAAGAGGTATTTCAATATGACATTTTGTTTGGTAAAACTTGTTAATTGAAATGGAAAAGAAAACAAGAAAGTATAATAAGTTTTTAGCATTAGAAAACTGAACGCTCACTCACATGACCTGTTGACTTAAAATTCTGCAGGAATTTTAGGCAGGAAATCAGACAAGATGTGCTGTTAAGTCACTCAAAAGTGAGTGACTGAGCTGGTAAGTAAGCCTAGCCAACTGCTCAACACTGATCTACCATAATACATAATGGCACTGAACCTTTACACAATCCTAGGAAGCAAACAGGGATAAGGAAATGAAAAGTAAATAAATAAAAATTATACTTGATAAAATGATAATTTGAAAAGGTAAATAACCTTCTAAAATGTTAGAGGTCTCCTATACTTCAAATTATTAAACGATGGTTTATCTTCTGATAGTATTTTATTAAAAGGATAATTAATCTGAAAAAAAGAAATTACTCTGGATTAGGCACAACTCTGAACAACCTGATGAAAAGAAAATGATCGCTCTTTGCTTGTCTTGGATCACCCTCTGCAGTAATGTGAAATGGTTTAATCCTACCTGCACCACTGAGGAATTCAGGTACTCTGCACACACTCCTAAGGGTTGCACCAACGCGGAGACAGCCTGGAAAAAAGACAGTGAAGTTTAGAAACAGATTTGAGAGGACTTTTTCCTGTAAAAATTAAACAAATCCTTTTTTGTATATCAGAGAAATGTTTAAATAATGATTTGATCAAGTCATGAAGGAAAGACTAGACAAACTAAATTCTTGGATAGGAAGAATTAATATGATGATGTCAACCCATTTAAATTATTATAGAAATTTAATGTAATACAAATCAGAACATGTCAATAAAATTTCTTTGGAGAACTAGATGAAATGAAGGAAAGAATAGTTGGCAGGGTATGAAATATGCCTTTAAATAAAAAACACAGAAGGCTTATTTGAAGAAAATTATAAAACTTTACTAAATTACATAAAAGAAAGCCCAAATAAATAGGGAGATACCATGTTCCTGAATGAAAAGACCAGTATTATAAAAATGTCAATTCTCTACATTCCGACCTATAAATTTAACACAATTCCAAATATGACATGAGTGGAATTTTCTGTAGGGGAATCTGATAGGCAGACTATATCTAGAAGAGTAAAACTATGAGAGGATTAAAAAAAAATTTAGAAAAGAATGATACTGGGCAGAACCAGTGCTACCAATAATTAAAACAGTAGAGCAATAATATAAAATGAACCAAAGAATGAATGACTAGAATAGACGTTCAGGAACAAGTCCATATAACACATGGGACTTTGATGTATGACAAAGCCAGTAAATGTGAATAATTCCATAGAGGATCTTACAACAATTGGTTACCTATTTGGAAGAAAATAAAACTGAATCCCTATCTTACACAACATATTAAAATAAATTCTAAATGAATTCAAGAGCTAAGTTTAAAAACTAAAAATATAAACTTACAAATGAAAAAATACATTTTTAGAACTGTGAGGTACGGGAACATTCCCTAAGCAAGTTAGGAAACTTTTAAGCCATTAAGGAAGAATTTGATTATATAAAATCTTGAAACTTCTGTATAGCAAGAGATACTCTCAATAAAAATGAAAAATCGTTATGTAACTTCTCATTCCAAAATGGTGGCATAGAGGCAAGCTGGCTTCACTCCCCCAACAGGAAACAAAAAGCAAATACCTAGCACCAAAACCTATACCAGCAACAACCCAGAGCTCAAGTATGAGGATGAGACAGTTCCAGGGGCCACAGAGAAATGGAAAAACTTATGTAGAAAGATGTCCATGACATAATGTTAAATGAAAATATACTACTAGGTAGAGCTTGATTACAATTTAGTTTTAAAGAGAGAAAGAGAAAGAGAGAACGAACATGTACAGATTTATATAAATTAGGAAAAAGTCAAAAAGGCTATGGCACTAAATTGTTAACCATTACCTAGGAGGTAGGCATGGGTGTCAGATGGGGTGGAAGGACAGGCAACTTTCATTTCTTACTTTGAACAGGTATCTTCACCTGGTTGGATGGTGACTGATATTTTCTTCCCAGTGTTTTCAAATTCAAAAATATGTGACTTGTACTCAAGTCTTATAATAAGGCCTAAATTTATTCTGGGACACAGTCACCTTCTTAACGGGTCTTCTAATCCGGCATTTATCAGGAATTTTAATTATACTTTGCTAAAAGAGTCTCAATCTTTGGAATCTCTTTGATGCCTGAGTTTTAACATCTCCTCAATAAAACCTAAAGAATGCAATTCTACATCAACTGCAGCAACCACCTAAGGGAAAAATCTTGAAAGAATCTTTATCCTCAGGACACCTGATAACAGTGAGTGGTAAGCCCAGATTCCTAAGTATCTGTCCTTGGCCAATTTTCATCTGAGTAGAAATTTCAAGCTGCTCTTTTTTTTGTTTTATTTTGTTTAATAAATTGACTCTGCAGGAAATTAGTGAGTGTTTCAGCATTTTTTTTAAATAAAGTTTATTTCTGATAGTGCCCAATGACTAGTTATTGAGAAACAAGTTAAGTTAGATAAAACCTTAGATCTAAAGAGGTCTTTCTTTTGTGTTGCTTTTTAAATCATTACATATTATCTTTCAGGTCAATAAAGTCATTTACAACATATTTAATCTATTCAATAGGGATCAAAAGGACAGTCCAACAACCTAATTAACTTCCAGGGAAAGAAGAAGAGACTTCCGGATCAGTATCAGTAATCTGACAGACATGTGATCTTTAGGATAAACACTGAGTGGCAAGAAAGGGCCGGTCTATTACCACCCCATCAGTCTCTCTGCTTGCCCTCTGCCATTTCCTTCACCCAGAGGGACCATGGGAGTCGATGAGTCATGGTCCCACAGAAATAGCTGCTACTGTAAGCACAATTTGCAACACTTAGGTATATTATTATATCGCATCATTTTCTGCAGAGATCAAATTAGTTAGCACAGTGTTTTATACATGTCAAGGACATAATAAATAGTTTTTAATGGAATGGTTAATTAACTAGAGAACAGAATAAAGTGCTCTCAGCTACAAACAGGTCAGCAGTGTGTTAAAAATTAAAGATTAGGTTATTCTCCTTACCACAGGTTAAATTTTTTGAGAAAATTAAGTTGACGTGAAAATGAGGTAGATATAAAAACTGCACAGGAGGAATGATTCTAAGTTCCCAAGTTACAGCCCTTTGTAACTTATAAGTTTCTTAACACCAAAAGGCCTACTAAACAACCTTGCTAAAATATTTTTATTTGTGCCTACTACTATAAAATAAATTCTAATTTATGTAATTATTTAACTGAGACATAAAATTATTATGTACATATTAATAATATATACTTGCCACATATAGCAACTGTCTTTAAAAAGTAAAATAATTTCATGTAACCGTCACCAAATTAAGAGAAATATACCATAGGCAAAGGAAAAATAGTGAGGTAAAAAAACACCAGCGGGATGTGGTGGCTCACACCTATAATCCCAGCACTTTGGGAGGCTTCGGTGGGAGGATCCCTACCAGCCTGGGCTACACGGTAAGACCCTGTCTATACAAAAAATTTAAAAATTAGCCAGTCTTGGTGGTGTGCACCTGTAGTGCCAGCTACTTGGGAGGCTGAGAAAGGAGGATCGCTTGAGCCCAGGAGTTGGAGGTTACGGTGAACTATGACGATGCCACTGTACTCCAGTCTGGGCAACAGAGGGAGACCCTGTCTCTTAAAAACAAACAAAAAAGCCCACACAAACATTCTAATTGAAATTTGGTTATAATTAGGAGTAAACATTTCTCTGGCTATCAGAACCATGAAATATGTTCCTCTAAAGATTAATTTTTAATATAACATTTAACTTACTATGTCCAGACTGCATCCCCCGGTTGTATATCAACCCAGATAGAGTGAAGTTCCACACTGGGCACTTACAGTGGTTGAACTTACCCCAAGTTCTATATCTTCTGAATGGAGCTTGGCTTGGATTGCTGCAAACCCACCTAATTCTCCAAACTGAGAAGAAAAAGGGCACAAATTAATCTTACATTGCTATATATTAATAATTTAAGCAAGGAACTAAGGCTAACATTCTACTCTCTCACTGTGCTCTATAATATTGGTCTCAAGAGAACCCTCACGAAATCATTCCAACACTCCTGTGGTACACAGCAGGAGATGTGCTAAGTCCAAAAGCTGATGTGCATCTGCATACATGGTACATACAAAAAAGGGAAAGAACTATGAAACCTATCTCCTTAAAAAAAATTTTGATTGTCTGTAGCTATCATTTGCTTAAAATACCAAACTGTGGGAAATCTTATCAGAAAATGGAAAATAGACTATGTGACATGACAACATTAATAAAAGTTGTATACCTTATTTACCAAATCCACAACCCATCCATGAGGTTCCTATGAGGGAAAAAAAAACAAAATTGAGATGGTAATATAAAAGCTTCCCCATTAACCCCTATACTTCTTTTACCTGAAAAGTTAGAGAAAAAAATGTCAAAATTTGAAAACATTTTGAAAGTTTTTTCCCCTAAATCTTTCATAATATGAGTCTTTGACAATAGTATATAATTTAGGGAGTCTATAAGTCTATATTGTGATGGAATTTCCACAATGTGGAACATTTATGCAATTTGGGGCAGCTGAGATCAGTTGTTTAAGCTCTCCAAGGTACAGGGTAACTTGAGTTAAATTTTCTAAGAAAGTTCTACTTTAGAAATTGTTAGTCCCAGCTGTATCATTAATTAATGCGCTTAACCAAGCTGTTTCTTTTCTTTCTTTTTTCCTCCTTTTCTTCCATTCTTTCCTTTTCTGAGCATTCACTGTTCTAGAGGATATAGAATAGTGACTAAGAAGAGATGTGATACCTGCTTACACAGAGCTCTTATTTTAGCAGGTCAACAAGTAAGTCAGCTCACTCGGGGTGGTGGTGGTCATGAAAGACCTCTCTGAAGAGGTAGTTTTTAAGCTAGAACCTAAAGGATGAGATGGATTTAGCCATTTAAAGAACAATCCTTACAGAGAAGCTGAAATGGTAAAAGTCCTGTTTGGGGAAGGAGAAAAGAGTGTACCATGTTTAAGAAACAAGAGAAAACTCTCCCAGCCAGGACGTGGTGAGCCAGGAATGACACAGATGAGACTGCAGAGAGAGGCGAAGGCCAGATCATACAGAAATTTATATGCTGATTAGAAGCGAAGCAACAGACGCATTTGTTTTTTGCTTTTTTTTCTTTGCTTTGTTTTTTGAGACATGGTCTTGCTCTGTTGCCCAGGCTGGAGTGCAGTGGCGTCATCATAGCTCACTGCAGCCTCGAATCCCTGGCTCAAATGAACTCCTGGTTGAGGCAATCCTCCTACCTCAGCCTCCCAAGTAGCTTGGACTACAGGCACATGCCATGTCTGGCTAATTTTTTTATTTTTTGTAGAGATGGGATCTTACTATGTTGCCCAGGCTAGTCTCCAATTCCTAGCCTCAAGCGATCCTCCCACCTTAGCCTCCCCAAGTACTGGGATTATAAATGTGAGCCACCACACCTGGCCAACAGAAATGTTTTAAGCAAGACAGTGTTTATGTTTTAAGAAAATCATTCTTGCAGTTCTGTGACAAACGAAACAATTGATGAATGGGAGAGTTAGACAACCAGTTAGAAGACTAGATAGGACACGGCTGTGTGTGGGTAGGGTGATAGCAAAAGAGAGAGAGAAGTCAACTGGAGACATACTTGAGATTAAATCAGAGGACCTGAGATTAAATCAGAGGATTAGATATGAGGAATAAGAAAAAGGGATGAATCATGGCTGATTTCTATGCTTTTGGCTTGAGCACCTAGGTAGATGGTAATGCTATTTATTAAAAAGGAGAAGAATGAAAGCTTGCAGGCAAAATGAAGTTTCATTTTAGGCACACTAAGTTTGAGAACTCTGTGTGGCAACCAAGGGGAGACAGTTGACTCTTCAAATCTGGGGTGCTCAGAGAAGAGGTCTGTGCCACAGAGATGTAAGTTGGAGGGCCATCAGTATAAAGATGACATTTAAGTCCATGAGAATGGAAGATATTTCCTAGAGTAAGTGTAGTGAATAAAGAGAGGAAAGCCTTGGGTCAAAACTGCATAGAGGCGAAGGAGTCAGCAGAGGAAACATGGCAGAAATGCAAAGCACTGTGGTGTCCTAAAAGCCAAGGAGGAAACGGTTCCACAGAGGGAGCAACTGTATGACCAGTGCTGCCAATGGGGTCAAGAGACATTTCCTTCCACTCTGGAAACACAGAAGGTACCGGTGCCCTAACGAGAGTGGGATGGTGGAAAAAGAAGGCAGAATGGAGGGCTCTGAAGAGTTAATGGGGACTTCGGTGTAGTTACCCTCAACAGCTTTCCAGCTGAAAATAACTAAAACCACTGGATAAAAACATTAAAAAATAATTTTGTATAACAAAATACAGCTAAGTGGGCAACAAAGCATTCAGAAGTTTAAAACAAAGAGAAAGAAGGAATCTTGTGAGGTAGACACATTTTGAAGCCAGCTTTCACTTCACAGGCACCTGAGGAATCCTGGTGACCTCAAGCTTCCATTTGCAGGAGAAAAAGGACATAAAGCCAAGGTGAGACAGGGAAACTCAAAAAGACTGTCATATAAAGCTGGAACCCAAAAGGCTACATCCTCAGCGTAAGGTGACCTGAAATAAATTTACCCACAGAAAGGGAAAATAAGGAAGCCTGCCTACTTTGATTTGGGTACTGGACGGAGGTGAGAAAAAAATTCTTCAAGAATTTGTAACCACAGAATTGCCTTCATATGGCTTTCCTGCTCAAATTTACACTGACTTTATGGTCTGAAAAACCTTAAACTGAGAGTTTATTCCACAGTGGTCCCAGATTTTAGTGCTTCCAGGCACTGGAAGAAGTAAAAGTAAATCCTTTTCAGAGGAAAAAGTTTTCAACTTAGGCCTCAAGAAATCCCCCTAGATTAAATTCTAAGAAACATGAATACGAAGAAAAACAACAAATAAGTATAAATACATTTCTATACACATACACACATACAAAACGAGTAAAAGCCAACAGAATCAGACCTGTAGATATCAGACACAGAATATAAATTAGCATTAAACAAACCAGGGATTGAAAATATGAGTCAAGAACATGAGACAATAAAAAAAAAAATGACTAAACAGCGTCGAAAAAGAAGCAAACAATTTATATAAATGAAAAATTCAGTAATGAAATTAAAGGCTCAAATGAATAGGTTAAACAGCAGATTAGATACAAATAGAAAAAAATAGTAAACTGTACATTAGATCTGGAAAAAGTTATCACAACGCAGCATAAGGAGACAAGATGGAAAATAGGAAAAAATACAAAAGGGGTTAAGGGACATGGAGGACAGAATGAGAAGTCCAACATGTATCCAAAGTTCCAGAAAGAGACACTAATGGGGAAGGGACAATATTGAAAAAGATAATGGTTGAGAAATTTCCAGAATTGATGCATGACATTAATTCTTAGATTCAGAAGCCCAACGAATCTGAAGCAAAGTAAATAAAAAGAATACCCTGGTTAATTGCATGAGAGTCAAACTGACAGACACCAAAGAGAAAAAAGATACAGGCGTGGAGGGAAGACAGACATCTCTAATGAAGGAAGAACAGTCAGACCAACAGCCAACTTCTCAAAAGCAGTACCCAAACCAGAAGACAGTGAAATGATATCTTCAATATTCTGATGGGAAATAGTTGTTAATCTAGAGTTTCAAACCCAGTGGAAGTATGTATTCTATAAGGAATGGTAAATAGAGTTAAGTTCAGGCCATCCAAAACAAAGACTTAACCACCAATAATGGGCCTTTACTAAAAGCACACTTTATACGATGCACTTACCTACTTTATGGAGTAGAGAAACATAGGAGATTAAGACAATGCACAATAAAGACAGAGAGATAATAAGTCAGGAGGGGAGTGATCAGGTGAAACATTCTAAGGCCTTTATATATTGCTCAGAGGAGGATAAAGATATTAATGAAATTTAGGTTTTATTTAGTAAGTTAAAATATTAGAGTAATCACTAAAAGAATAACTGGGAGAGAGGACATGGAATTTTTCAAAAGGTATGGCTATCAAGGGGAGCAGAGGACCATGCTGAAGCTAGAGAGGTATATGATATTAAAAGTTTATCTAATATTTAAAGAGGTGAAATACCAGAGCACATTGTATACAAAGGTAATGATCCGAGAGTAGGGAAAAAATTGAGGATACCAAAGAAAGAATATAAAACCTAAGGAATGATATGCTTGAGTAGGCAAGAGGAGAGGGGATCTAGAGCCTTGGTGAGAGAGAGAACCCCTCTGCGGTAACGAGAGGAAACCCAAAGATCAACCTTTCTGGGTCTCAGTTGTTGCACATGTAAACTGAAGGGAAAAGAATGACTATCTGCTGCATATTTACTATAGTGAACCACCATGTTCAGTGTTTGTACATATATTTGTCATTTAATCCTCTCAACAAACTGAAAGAGAAGACTTTAACATTTTGGGAAGTAGTACTGTGTATGGTTATTATAGAATGTGGACTCCATGGCTGGACTGCATGGCTTCTTCCTGTAACTAGGTATGTGGACTTGGCAAGTACTTAACTTCCATCTGTCTCAGCTTCTCGTCTATGAAATGGGGGTAAAAATAGTACCCAACTAGAAGAGTTGTTGTGGGGATTAAATTCCAAAGAACATATATACTGGCATTTCCACTCAGCTCTTACCCGTTCTCTGGAATACTGCCTGACCCACCAGGGTGGCAATATCCCTGCCTCCTCTGAATTCTATGCATAGTACATATTATAATCACACCTAATGTTTATTATGCTGTAATTTTTTGTTTTCATATTTTCTCCACTATATCATTAAGCTAGGAATCACATCTTATTACTTTTTATATTAAAGACAAGGACAGTTTATGTATATCTCATAAACCTGGAATAATGCCAGACACATAGTAAATGTTAAATAAATGATTGTTGACCTAAATCTCTGTTTCTATGAAAGCAATGGACAAATTTTCTTTCCACTTAATTTGTCTTCTTTCAATTATTTCTGAAAAGCCAGTGTTTGAAGTAAATGATTGTTCAGCTTATGTACTCCTTGTGGGCAAAATGTTACAGACATACTGTAAAACTCTGAATATAAAATAAAAATATTGGTTCTGGGCCTGAAAAAGCAAAAATTTTAATGCTTAGGGAGTCTAAAAGAAAATTATATAGGAGACTAAGTACTAGATTATTTTTTTCTAGGTACAATTAGTCATCTTAAGTCATTTCAAATGCTCTAGTCTCTCAAATATCTCTACGAAACTGGGACACCAATCAAACTGCAGTTCTGATAATCCAATATATGGGGCACTAAAGTCATTTCTCATTTCACTAGATATCATTTCAAATCTATAAAATTCTTCATGATACTGGTTAACAGCTATGGGAAAAATCTGCAATGTCTGAAAAAATTTTAAGCAATTTTATGAGCCATATGGGATATTTGTCATTTTCCACAGATTGTTTTACTCCTTTTGAGTAAATTGTCATTTTTATAGCACAGAATATCTTTTCCAATACATTTCTCTAAAAAAGATGAAACAAAACTATACTATGTTTACCTTTTGGAAAGTAGATACAGGTGAAATAGCAAACATATTTCCCTCTCCAAACACTTCTGCCCAATTCCTTTGAGACACTTTCATTCTGTTTTTAAAATGGTATTCATTATCAGGATTGAAAGCCTAGATTCAAAGAGAACAGAGAAACATTATTATCTATTTCTATAGCAACACATATTAGCACTAGAAAAGAAGATAAAAATATAGCCTTGGACTCCTTCGTTAATGGAATCGTTCAAGAACACCAACAAACAGCACACGCTGTAGCTAGTGCAGAGGAGCAAGGGACTAACGTGGTGCTCTCCTGTCCTGTTCAATGTTTGCTGTGAGAGAAGAGTAGGAGGTAACAGGATGAGAGGTCTGACTCAAGGCAAAGTGATATCAATGCTCCAGATGTGCTAGGGCAGCCACAGGTAGAGCTGGGCCACAGAGACAGTGAAGACAGAAGTAGGACGGGAAAGCAGGAGGGTCTCTCCTTCATGTAGCTTCTATTGCCTGTTGGGGGAAAAGGTCAGAAATCTAACCACATGAACACTCCATACGAAAATATTTAAGATACAAAAAATTGGAAAGAGATAAGAGAAAGGCATTTAATCATTTTACAAGCTGTAAAATACATTAACATTATTATAGAAAGGTACTTCTTCCAAAGTAAAACACATGATGGTTGCTCTGCTTTTAAAAATAAAAATGAAGGACCCTAACAGCTAAGTTATTATCTTTAATGATAAAACCATTATCACAAATTATTAACTAGGAGTCAGAGAATAACAAGTATTTATTTTCAACAAAATCGAAACACAGAACACTTCATTTTAGAGATACTATACCATTGTAAGCACGCCCAGGAGCCCAATGGGAATTGGATCTTGTTTTATTCTCTCTGCAACCAGTTCTATTAACAGCATCAACATGTTGTAGATTCCTTCATGAATTTCAGTACCCCACTTGTGAACAGCACTTGATGTCAGGAGCTACAAAAACATAAAGGGCAGACTAGAGTCTAACTTGAAAAAAGAAAATAAATTTATGGTTTATCAGGTCAATCTCAAATAATCAAAAGATTATGACCAAAATACTTTTTTTATGCAGATGACTTGCTGTTAAAAAACCCATAACTGCAGTCCATCTACTTGTTCATTTATTTCAAAGTCAACACAGAGTTTTGCTTTTGAATTTTAATTTTCTTGCATTAAAGCAGTTTCTTCAAAAGAAAATTTTTATTTGCTCCTCTACTTGTCATTATTACTAGGGGAGGTCAAGTGGTGTAGAACAGGTAAAAACCCGAGATCAATTCCTGGTTACTACTGTTTTCTAGCTGTGTGGCCTTGGACAAATTTACCTGAGTTCTCAGAGGCTCAGTTCTTTCATCTCTAAAGAGGCATAATTCCTTCCCACTTCACACAGATGTTATGAGGATCAAAAGACAGAATAAACGTGAAAGCATTTTATAAATGATAAGGCATTATTAATATATCTTGATGGTTGCCTATCCTTATTAATCAATATTTTAAGAACCTGAGAAATGGATGTTATATTTCATGGATTCTAATATACATATTCTTTTCACATTTTTTAACATCTCAGAAATAGAATGGCATCTTTCCACCTGTTGACCAGATGACGGCAGGGTTCTGAATGTAAAAAAATTTTAGAAACATCTTACCAATTTACTTTGCTTATATTTTCCTTTTTAGTAAGTGCAAAAGTAATACTTAATTTGTTAAATGTTTAAGAAAATCTAAAATAGCTCTCAGTGAAAAGACATTGCAACACTGTTTACTTAGCAGCTATTTTTCTTAAATATAAACATCAAATATAAAGTAGTGGTACATCTTATAATCAAATAGCTTCTTAGATTCATTCAAGAGTGGAGAAACTGGATTTCCCTGATCCTCAGCCTTGTAGTCCTTGGGGAAGTCTAATTTAGGAACAACTGTCAGAACAGGCAATGAGAAATCAAAAGATTTCACTTAAATTTGTATGGTGGTTTCATGTTTTTGTTAAGATTTCCCTCCAGAGGGAAAATACCATGCAATCAAAATTTTTTTCTTGGCCACACTGAAAACCTCTTAAAAAGAGCAGTCTGAAGGAGCCCAAACTGCAATGGCTGCAGAGAAAAGACTCAGTTCCAGATTTTCTAAGTACCAATTAGTGGCACTATTTGCTCAAATGAGCAAAAATCATAAGACTGATTTTATATAAACCAATGAGTTACCATTTTTTACAAGAATTTTTTTGCCTGACTACATATTTCTCCTATACTTAAAAATTAAATAACAAAGCAAAACAGAAATCAACATTTAAGAAGCTTCGTATGACTGCAAAATAAAAATATATGTGGATTAAGCACCACTTCCTCTGGTGCCATTCTCATTTGTTCATTTTTCACTTTGAAAACGTAATTCTGTCTACCGTCTAGAATTCTGAGATGGGGAAAGACAGGCGATACCTTGTGGGGGAGATGCGCAGCTGGTTTAAACACAACCATATACTATGGACAAACCTAAATTATTCTCCCTGCCTGAACATACTAAGAAAGAATACAAGGCTGGCCTGAAGGTGAAAGGTGAAGAATGCAGAAATGACAACAAAGCTCCTTTTGTGCACCTTATTCACGCAATCACTTATTATTCATACCCTTACTTCTAAGAAAATGGTAGAGGGCAGCTTGTGAGAAAAGCCTGGGGAAGAGGGGAGGGGACGACGGTCCTTGTCCCAGGAAACACAGCGAGGAAAGTAGTACCAATTATGTCAAATCCTACTGAGTGTTCTGGCAGCCAAGCCTAAAGGCACATAGAATTCTGTAGCTCTTCTGATTTAATAAAAGAAAGTATGCTTAATTGATGGTGAGGAGAATCTTTTTAATAGCTCTAAACTGTAGGAGAATTTAACATTTTTACATTAACAAAATTGAATAACATAACACAGGGTACCTTTGAGCTCACAGTTTTACAAAAAAAAAACCAACCAACCAACCAACCAACCAACCAACCAACCAACCAGCCATGTGACCATTTATTATGAGGGCATAAGATAAAACAGTTCTCTGAAGCATCTCTGCACAGAGTTAAAGTATTATCCTCGAAATACGCAACTTGGTGGTGAACTTATTTGATACAGGGCTTTCTGGGTCCGGAGCTCCTAAACCTAAAGGTCCTTTCCCTAGACTAATAAGTCCTTTTCCATGACTCTGAATAAACTTGTATTTTCCTTCTCTGTAAATTTGTGCATATATTATATGTCACAGTATGTTACATTATAAAAATTTTGCTATTTTTTAAAAAGCTACTATAATTCTTAAAAGAATTCTTAAAAGTTTAAAATTATTTTAAACTACAAATTGGTAGATGAATTAATCTAAAATGAAGATAAATCTTGATTTCATATAATCTCTGCCCAAATGACAATTTAAAAAGATTTCTCTCTTTTTCTGAAAAAAGAAAGAAAACTTTTGTTTCTAAAATTAATTTTGTTAGCTTTTAAGCCTTGAATCAAAGGAGATTCTGTCTACCAAAATGCAGCTGGGAATAACTGTTTGCAAATGAAGAGTTTGTTTCACTGGGTTTTAAGATAAATATAAACTTTACCCATTTATAGTTCTAGTGACTTACTTGCATATAGGACAAAAATGGGTGTCAAAATCCAGAAGTTAAGACAGCAGGAGACTCATTCATTCATTCAACATTTACTGAGCTCTTTCTACGAGATAGGCACTTGGTTATATGCTGGGGAAGACAGTAGTGTCCACGACAGACACAGTCCCTGCTCTTGTGAGGACTGAAGACTCATGTGGTGAAAAGGGAATCGTGCTGAGTCAGTCCGCTTTCAGAAACACAATTTCAGTGATCTCCTATTCCCATTGTTAAGAAAAACTGCTTTCTAAGAGATGTGATCAGAATGGGAGCGTATCATTCTGGCTCTGACAGGAGATGCTGCCATATGCATACCATTTTGCCAGTAAGAACATCGCTTCTCTTCTCATCTAATCTAATCTAACTTTCAGTAGCTTAAAATGTCTGCTTCTGCCTCAGTAAAATAGTAAGTATAAAGAGGCTCATATTTTGATAAATAAATACTATACTATCTAAGTGCCACAATTCTTTCTTTACTAAAGTGTGCAATTTCCTAGTATAATTAAGCCTTAACCTATTCTTAGCAATTAAATAGTAGGAAGTAAAAGTTATATTTGACCAAAGATGCATGCAAACAATTAACGTAGTAAATCATTTATAAGCCCCAAATTCAGAGCTACTTTTTTTTCATATTAGAGGATTCCTCAGCTGAACAAGATTCATAAACTGGTCTTACACATAAAAAAACTAAAACTGAAACAAAAAGCTTATCTACTTCACCCCCACCAAAAAACATCGGATTAGCACATTTTTCTTACCTTTTTAAATGCTTCAGGCATACACCTATCCATAAATCTTTTACAATTCTCATCAGATTCAGAAAGACCTTAGTAAAATAAACGAAAGAACATACCTTATTTAGATCTTAGGCAGTTTGCAGAAATCATACATACCATTCTAAATTCATACTAAATACACATGGAACTATCTACCATAAAAACCTTGATTCTTAAAGGGTTATTAAAAGTAGACTATATACCTTCTGATGAGGGAATAGACTGAGAATCACAGTATTAGACTAAATAAATACTAATTAGAACTGAAATGGTTGAACTTATGTTTTCATGTCAGAGTAACTTCAAGGGTCTGATTAAATAGCTAGTAAAACACCAACAGGAGCTACTTACTAGCCATTATTGTTTTTCTAAACAGTTCTATAAAAACACAAATATTTCAATAAATGCCAAAATCACTCTTCTCCCCTAAAACAAACTGATAAAATCTGTGTAATAAAATATACAGAATTGTGTCTGGCACAATTCACACAGTAAGTGATAAATACTTGCTAAGTGAATGAATGAATCTAATATAAAATCACTCCTTGGAAGAAATGCATTTCCGTCTTAAACTCGATAATGGATTTTGTTCATCATTGGGAATACTGTTGAACACAGTTTCTATTTTTTAGATCTACTGTCTGGCATAGTACACAGATCCTTCCTACAGGTGCTCAATAAATGCTGCTGTTGAGAAGCCAGTCATAAATGCACCATAAGAGCCTATCAGGATTAAATCGAATCCAAGTCAAAATATTTCCTTTTGATGTGTCTCATATTTAATCATGGTCTGTTAACTAAGCACACTTTTATTAAGGAAAAAAACTCCACAAAACAGTGGCCCTATTCATTTTATTTTATAACTGAATTCAATATGAAAAATAAATTTTCTCTTTTATAGATTTTTAGTGTAGATGTTTCCTTATATTGACATCCATTCTTCCAACCTAGTGATATTTTATTACTCTATTAGCTTAATATTTGTAAAGCACCAAAGACAGTGCCAGGCACTTACAATAATAAGCACAAAAGTTTGTTAAATAAACATTTCTTTTCTTAAAAAGAATAGCTGCTGAACTGAGCCTTAATTTAAAGTGCTCCAAGCTTCTTTGGGAAGTTAATTTCAATTTCTATAAAGATTTCCACTGTATTTTAAATAATCTTACACTCTCTTGAAGCTAGAAGAAAATGGTTGATTTAGTTCAAAGCTTTTATTCTACAGGGGATAAACAAAGACTAAGAGAATAAACAGTCTGTCCAAGACCACACAGCCAGGCAATAAGAGCTAAGATCAAACTCAGGCCTCCTATGAAAAAAATGTCCTCAGGTGTCCTGCGGTCTGGAAACTTACCAAGTCTTGCTAGGTAGGTAGAGGCCAACAGGCATTTGCCTAGTGATTCTTCTCGCTTATAAGGGATGGACCAATGATCCGTTAAAACACGGCTTTCCAGTTCGTACAAATTTGTTGTAGGGAATTCAATTCCTTCCCCAGAGCAGTTTCCATTTTCATCATTCTTCTGACAAAAAAGGGATTAAGATAAAAAGCAAATAAGCTAATTAGTGACTACTGTAAAAATTTAGAATTTAACAGAGCAAATGCTTAACCAATGATTGCATTAATACCACTAGTGTGGATCCCACCTTTCTTTCTCATAATCACATCTTTCACCAAGAGTACCTCAAATATTCTCATCTTTTATCATTCTGGCATTCTTACCCTCTCAGAAGGTGACCGTCATCTCTTTCTTCAAAAATGAACTCCATTTCTCATAGTAAAATATCAAACCTGCCTTCACTGACAGCCATCCTGTCCTCACCTCTCTTTTCTCACTGAGAGAATAAATTTCTTCAAAGAGGTACCTCTATTTGCCATTTCTTTCTCACACTGACTCAATCCTGACACCACCCCAATCTGGATTCCAGAGTCCCTACTCCCCAAAGTGACTATGGTTAAGGTCACCATTGAATTCTGTATCATTAAATCCAATGACGTGTTTCAGTCCTTATCTTACTTCTCAGGACTATCTGACCTTCTGCTCACTCTCTCCTTTTGAAATGCTAGATTCTTCCCCCTGCTTCCCAGGATAGCACACTCCCTTTCTCCTCCCACGGGTCTGGCTGTTCCTAGTGTGTCTGGTACACCCTCCCCTCCCAGGCATCAATATTTGAGCTCTCAAACCTCAGTGCTAGGCCCTCTCTTCTCATTCCAGTCTATCTCCCTGGGTGACCTCATCCACACTCCAACTCTCAATTACCTCCTATCTGCAGATGATTCATAAATTTCTATTGCCAGCTTAGACCTTTCCTCTGAGCTTCAGACACACAAATGCAACTGCCTACTTGACATCTTCTCTCATTAAATGTGTGCCCCAACCAAATTCATGATCCTTCCCCCTCAACCCTGGTCCACTTCTCGTGTTCCCCAATCCCAGTGAATGGCACCAGATACATCTGGTAGCACCGCCAGAAACCAGGGAATCATTCTTAACACACTGCTCTCCCATCCCCGCCCCCAACACCTGGGGATCAGACCTCCTAAATTTCTCTCAAATCCCTCCACTTCCATCCATCTCCACAGCCACCTCCTAGCCCAAGCTGCCGTGGCTTATGCCTAGATTATTTCGCCAGCTTCCAAACTGGTCTCCCTCTACCTCATACACACATTTGCTTTCCACTCTGATCTTTATAAGGCACAAATCTGATGCAAAGTCTAAAAACTTTCATGGCTTGCCTTTGTTCTTAAGATAATCCAAATCATTTTTTAAATGTTCTAGAAGGCCTTAAAGGGCCTATCCCCTAATTCTTCCTCTCCAGCTTTCTGCACTCCAATGGTTTCTCTGGGATTTAGCTTCTTGACAAGCACAATGATCCCTGTATCAGAATATGTTCCCAAAAGGCCATAGCAATATTTCTGATCCTACATGCTCTTCCAGAACCTGGCCACTCTCCATCAAAAGGTGGCATTTACTCCTCGTGTCTCTGAACCAGAGTAGGACTGTGTGTGTACCTGCCCAATGAACAGAATAGAGCAGAAGAGACCCTGCGTGATGTTCAAGCCTCGGTCAGGAAAGGCAATACAGCTTCTTCCTGGCTTGTCCTCTCGGGACACTCACTCCTGGAACCCAAACACCATGTCATGAGGGAACTCACACTAAATGGAGAGGTCACATGCAGGTGTACTGCCCAACAGTCTCACTAAGGTCTCAGTGGACAGCCAGTACCTGAAGGCCAGTGAAGGTGGCTTCAGATGAGTCCAGCCTCTGGCCATCAGGTCATTCCCAGCCTTAGTCTTCCGGCTGAGGCCCTAGACATCATGGAGCACAGATAAACTGCTGTCTGAATCCTTTCCCCACAGAATCGATGAGCATAATAAATGGTCGTTTTATGCCACTATTCCTGAACTCATCTTTCTGCCCTCTTTAACCTACTTAACTCCTATACATCCTTAATTCTTTCAGGGAAGCCTTTCTAGAACTTCTAAACTAGGTCAAATTCCTCTAGTTATTATGTATTATTATATACTCTTACCATCCTGAACCTCTCCTTTATAGCACTATTCACAGATATAATTTTGTATTTACTTGTGACTTATTTTATGTTTGTCCTCCACTAGACCAAGCTCCATCAGGGCATGGACACTGTCCACTTTTGACCAACTCTGTATTTCCAGAACCTGGTCCCTAACACAAAGTTGGTATCTAGTAAATACTGTTAAATGGAAAAATAATCTATGCAAAGTTTCAATTAATAATGGGATAACTGCCAGACTTTCCCTCAGTTCTCACCATGCTAATTTGTAATAAAGCAAACTGAACTCCAAATTGCCTAACACCTACTAGTTTTTTGGAAAACCTAAATATTTTCTTTCTTTCTTTTACTTTTTTAGAGACAGAGTTTTACTCTGTTGCCCAGGCTTGGGTGCAGTGGTGTGATCATAGCTCACTGTAACTTTGAACTCCTGGGCTCAAGTGATCCTCTCCCTTCAGTCTCCCAAAGGGCTGGGATTACAGGATTCAGCCACTGCACCTAACCCTGAAACCTAAATATTTTCACAATCCACTATATAATCCAATCATTATAAAATAAAATGATAAAATCATTCCATTAAAAAAACCACCTTTAACCTCAATAAAGGAAAAAAACATAAATATAAAACAGAAATGATAAAAGCATACAGAAGAAAACTAATTTCAAACCTATATCAATGATACCAAAAGGAATCCAAAACATTTTTTTCCAGGTTCATAACTAAACTGGGATGAAAATAAAACAAAAACAGGAAGGTAATTATTAGGTGTATTAGACAATGTAAGTTAGGGGGAAGGTGTGAAGGGTGAGAGTGGTGAATTAAGTAGGTTTAGAATGATAATGTACGGGAAAATTTCAGTTTTTAAAGTATAACACTTTTCAGAAATACAATTAATTCATAAGTAATATAAATAAGCCAGTTTTATACTTAAAGGAACCTGATAGAACCAAAGAATAGAAAATTTAGGATAGTCTTAAAACTGCACACTTGTTAAATGCTTAAATGTATTAAACTGGAATTAAAGTAGAATTAAGACATAAAAAATTCACTTAGCCGATTCTGTGGGTATATGTCATTACTATGGAATATCTTATCATTAATTTCTATAGTTAACAGATCAAATCACATATAAAATTATCAAATGTACCTAATAGCTATAAAAACTAAGAGCCTCCTTGGGGAAAGAAAAAAAACACTTTTATCAGCATCAGTGTTGGACTAAATTGGGCCTCCTTCTAGCCCAAACTCTCAATGTGACTATATTTGGAAATAGGCCTTTAAGCAGATAATTAAGGTCCAACGAGGTCATAAGGGCGGGGCCCTAATCCAATAACGCTGGTGTCTTTATAAGAAGGGGAAGAGACATCAGAGATCTCTCTCTCAGTGAGTGCGCAGAGGAAAGTCCATGTGAGGACAAACAGAGAAGGTGGCCATCTGCAAATCAGGAAGAGAATCCTCACCACAAACCAACCCTAATGACATCTTGATCTTGGACTTCTAGCCTCAACTGTGAGAAAATAAATTTCTGTAGTTTAAGCCATCCAGTCTGTGGTATTTTATGGCAGCCTTAGAAGATTAAATACTTAAATTTATTAACCTAGGGTCAAAACAGAATTAAGGCACATAAGCCTCTGCCCCAACACACAATCGGTTGGCTGATTCTGAAATGGGGATATGTCATTACTATGGAATATCTATCATTAATGTCCATAGGCGTTAACAGAATGAATCACATAGGAAATCATCACATGTACCTAGCGGCTTCCCTAAGCGCCTGGGGAAGGAGGATCCTTTTCAGTAATGAGACAAACAGCACTTGCCTCCTGATACGATGTACTGTGAAGGGCACAATTATCACTTCTGCGGTACTCTTGGCAGAAAAGTATAACCTGAATCTAACCATGAGAGAACCCAAAATGTATACTAAAAAATATCTACCCCTATTCTTAAAAAATCTCGAAGTCTTAAAAGACATGAAGACTAGACAGAGAGGGCAACCAAATGCAACATGGGATCCTGGACCGAATCTTGAAACAGAAATTTTCATTAATATTTGTTTTATTTTACTTTTTAGCATCAAAGAATTTTAGTACTGGATGAATGTTAATTTTCTGATTTTGATAACCATCCTAAGTTATGTTAAGAGAATATTCTTATTTTTAGGAAATATACACTGAAGCATATAAGGATAAAAGGGCATCATGGTCTGTAGTTTATTCTCAAACAGTGCAAGAACAAAACACACATTTTATACACGTACACATTATATGTCTTCTTATCTATATACATACATACAAAGAGAGAAAAGTAAAGCAAATATGATAAAATGTCAACATTTGAAGAACCTGAATAAAGGTTATATAAAAATTCTTTGTACTATTTTTGCAACTTCTCTATAATTAAGATGTTAACTGTGATTTCCAGGACAACCACTAATAAAATAACTCAAACTATATGTGTGTGTGTGTGTGTGTGTGTGTGTGTGTGTGTGTGTGTATTTATAGTGAAAGAAAGGGAATTAAAATGATACACCAGAAAAATACATATTTAATATAAAAGATAGGAGTGGGCCAAGTGCTGTAATCCCAGAACTTTAGGAGGGAGGATTGTTTGAGGCCAGGAGTTCAAGACCAGCCTGGGCGACACAGCAAGACCCTTCTATAAAAAACAAAAATCAACTAGGCATGGGGGCATGTGCCTGTAGTCTTAGCTACTAGGGAGGCTGAGGTGGGAAGATCACTTGAGCTCAGGAGTTCAAGGTTACAGTGAGCTATGATCATCCACTGCACTCTAGACTGGGCGACAGAGTGATATCCTGTCTCTTTTTAGACAACAAGACAGGAATAATGGAGAATCAGAGGAACAGAAAGACATAAGAAATATATGGAAAACAAATAGCAAAGTGACAGATGTAAATCCTGCCTTACTAGTAATTATATTAAATGGAAATGGATTAAACACTCCAATCAAAAAGGTAGAGGTTGGCAG